GCTGTCTCGTACTGGCAATGAGACTGCAAAAGAGTGGATTCCTCATTTGGTTCTGCTGCTGCATGGCTCTATTCACTCCTCTTATACACATACCTTCTTAGAAAGGGAGGTCTGTCAGTGCTCTCTTCTTTGCACATCTAATAGCTCACCATTAATGAAGATTTTCAGGTCAATTTTGTTTTAATGAGGAGCCAAATTCAACTAGCAGCAAGAAACTCAACGATCAAGTTTTCTATCCACTGAGACCCTTTTATACAGATCCAGGAGGAAAGTATGTTTAAACATGCATTGAAGTCTCACTACGCTCCTGGAGTGGTGTAAACACCTTCTTTAAGGACCCTTTTCGCTACCAGAGTGCTCCTAGAACAAACAAGAGTCAGGGCTCATTGTTTCCAGGTTTTGGCATCCCTTACCTTAAATTTTAAAAATCTGTCAGGGCAGAGGAGTTCTCCTGCCTCCCTCTGCTCTACACTGCTTAATTTTCATTTTCCAAAACACTTGCAGGTTTGCCATCCCAGTTCTTAAAATGAAATGTATTTTACTCGCTGTTTGAGTGCTTTTAATAGTATAAAGAAAGGATTCCCCATCCAAGCACTGCAGCATTTAAGAACTAGGTAGCCAGGTTCAAAATGGGCTAGAAGTTGGGTCATTTTCTGCTTGTCATGAGCTGCCAATTAGCAGTGTTGTTAATCACTGCCTAGAAGAAGATGGGCACTGGAGCAGTCAGTGTCACTGACCATTGACAAGGCAGTATGCAGAAAGTCTTGCTATAGCTGCCAGTCACTGTGCTGCAGCATTGAAGCTGAGTCTCATTTCTACAGGGAATCGACAATTTCTTCATTTCTTTGCATTCAAAGATAAAGACAGGCTGTAAATATTGCATAGGTAGTGTTCCGGGCAGTGAATCTGCTACAGGCCCTGGGAGAGCTAATGCAACACCTGCCCTGCTCTGTCCCACGAGCATGGTCAGGGAACACCTTGTGTCTGTGGACATCCTTCATTGCCTTCGCCCACAGAGCCACCCCAAGGCTCTTTGGGGGTGGCAGATTTGAATTTTGCATCCTCAAGGCTGTGGATCTGAATCCGGGCCAGAGTTTTGTTTTCTGCTGGTGAGAGGAGAGGAGCTGGGGAAGAGGCAAGGGTCAGGCGTGCTTTTTCTGCTGCTCCGGGGGCAGCAGGAAGAGGCTGGTGGCTAACCTCCAGCTGGAGACCACAGTCCCTTGGTGACAGCGGCCAGCCTGCTTCTCTGAGGCCACAGACAAAAATAAGCAACGACCTGGGACAGCAGACAGTGGAGGAGACAGGCATAGCCCTGCTGTATGATGCTCCCTGTTGTGTTGGGCAGTAGGATTTTTGTTCTCTAGTGGGAATTGCACTTGAGCTTGCTTGCTTAAGAAAAGATGTCCAGAGCTGTGCCTTACTGCCTACCTGGCCATCAGATCTGTCAGTGAGATGAAAAAGTGGCTTTGGTTTGACTTGTTTTTCCTAGATCTTACTTTTGTGTGAAACAGATTTCTATGACAGAGGATGAAACACTTAAGAACACTTTTTTGAAGTGGATACTCCAACTTCTGGTGTGTAGCTACAATAATTTGTGGGTGAAGAAAATATTTGGGTACTGAAGAGTTGCCAAAATACTGTTTAAAGGGAATTGCAGTTTAATTAGCACTTATCAGACATTAGCAATAATTGTTTTCAATTTGACCGCTCAGGGTAGAGTGTGATTCAGGCTCGTTTGGTTGATGCTGTGTGGTCTGCTGGACGTATGCCACTAGCTTCTTGTCCAGAGGCAGAAGCTTTTGGAGCTGCTTGTCTCTTTTTGATGAAGATGAGATGTCATCTTCAACTGGGACAAAGTGGAGGGAACTTGTATTAGCTGGAGGCAAATGATTTGACTCAAAGTTACTGCAGCAAGATGGATTAGAGTTTATCTCTACAATCTCGTTTCTGTGATTTTTAGGAAAAGTGCCAAAAACTTAAATAAAAAAAAAGAAAGAAAAAAATGTTTCCATTTGCTTATTTATGCTTTGTTTTGGCAAGGAATGAGAAAGCTTGCCACTTTTAGCGAGTGTGTGAACAAGAGAGGCAAGGGAACCTGGGGTGAAGTTTGACATGGAGATGCAGCTTAGCCATAAACATCCCTCAAATATTTCTTTTCCCTTTGTAGCAGGGTTCATTATGCTTTCTGAGTTTGTGGCTGTAGGTGAAACAAAGGCAGTTCTATAAAGTGAATGTAGTTTCAAAGGCTGGCTGAGAACAGAGAAAATAAACTGTATGCAATTGAAGCACCCGTTTGTATACAGCCGTGCACCAGTGTGATGTAAGGCAGCGAAGGTGACCTGATTAGCAAAGCCCTCACAAACTGCTGAGGAGATCCTGCTGCACTAGTGTTCCCCTCCTTGGGGACCTGCAGTTAGTCTCAGCTGAAGGAAACCTTTATACAGTAACAGGAGCTAAGCGAGGGCTTTTGAGAACGGTAAATACAACTGTGCATGTGTGTAAGGGTGAGGGAAGTAAGTCGTGCAGGCTGTTTAGTGCCCTTTCAAAATAGCTGGGATACATCAAGAAATGCAGCCTAAATTACGTGGGCTTTGTGAGCTACATTTGCAGGAGTTTGGGAGCTCTGCGTGTTTTGGAAGGATGAAACCCAGCATTCAGCAGACAGAAACCCTAGGGCAATATAAAGTAAGTGATCTTCCAGTTTTGTAAGCTCTTAAAACCTTGCTTTCATAGGAGTGAGCAGCCAGAGGTCCGCAGACTTCCATGGCAAGTAGTGATGATGTCTTGGTGCTGTCTAGTGATTCCATGTCAGATACGGACAGAGAAATCTGTGAAATTAATGCGAGAAGACAGATAAGATACGACGTTGTCTCTTTCCCTTGTGAGTACATATAAATATGCACAATTGATATGAGGGTTTTTTTTCGTTACTTTATGCGTTACCGTGCAAAGAGAATGTATGGTACTGTGGCAGCAATGCAGGATTTTGGGTCAGGAGCTGCCAGTACCGCTCCTGGCTCTGCCAGAGCTACTTGTGTGGCCAGGAGTATTAAATCCTGCTCCTGAAGAAAGCAAGTCATTTATTCGAGCTTTGTTTTCAGACTTGCTGAATGCCCCAGAAGGCTGTTATTATTAGAGGGAACTGCTGTTCCCCAGCTCTGAAGTCGGGTTGCCCATGTATCACAAGCACGTGCTTTGCACAGCAGGTGGGAGGAGAACCTGAGCATCTCTCTGTGCACCACAGGCACAAGGTGAGGCGACAGTCACCATTTTGCACCCAGGGCACAGGCAGGAGCTGAGTTGCAGCCAAGCTCTCTGTCTGTGCCATTGTTTCTTTTTTTAACAATAAATGCATCTCTGTGGCAACAAAATATCAATTCCCTTCTATAATTGTAACGCTGAAGTATTTTGTAGGTGCAGAATTTTGTGATGACAGTGCCTGTGCTGGTATCAGTCTGCTGTGATCTGTCTGTCCTTGTTTGGGACGGGCTTTGCTGTGATAGTGCTTCCATTCCTGAGCTTCCATTAGTGCCTCGATGAATAGTTGAAGATGTATTTCAACAATTTTACGGTTAAAAAGCAGCATCTTATCGTTTGGTTTCTGGTGCCTTTACCCCGTTCATTATGCTTTTGTCTGGTGGTAACGGTCATGGCTTAGAATTGCAACATCAACATTGGTCTCTGAACCGTCTGTTTTCTCTGACCATAAATTTGGGGGAAGGAGGAGAAAGGATGGAGAAGGAAGTCAGAGGGTTAGTTCTTCTGATATTGCTAGGGCAGCCCTTGGAAAATGTGCTGACTGGCAGCAAGCAGACCCAGTTATTTCTGGTTCTCTTGTTCGCTTGTCAGATCGGGCCTGGGGCGCAGGCCTCCAGCAGGGCTCCAGAGGCACGGCCAGGCCACACGCCTGCGCTCAGATCCTTTGCTGCCATTGGCACTCATGCTAATGGCCTCGGTGCAGGGGTCAAAGGCTGCTGAGATATGAAGGCTGAATCACCTCCTTTTTAAACCCCTCAGTAGGATCAGGGCTCATGGAAACTGGCATGTGGGCTTGCCTTCAGGCTGACGGTGCGGTTGGAGAGCGTGACTCTGGGAAAGGCCTTGTAGCAGTTTCCAGCAGCCGTTGGAACGTGGGTGTGAGGTGATTAAAACACCCCTGAGCTGAGACCCCTGTGTGAAAAAGCCTGATGTGTTCCTTTTCTTCAAAGATTTGCTGAACCCACAAGCACCTGTTACTTGCAGATTTGCCCTGTGACCTGAGAATTAAAGAAATCGGTGGTGGGCCCACTGGTCTAGCCAGGCAGATAAGAAACATCTCTAAGTGTGCTTATTTTACAGATATAACTAAACCAGCAGTGTAGGTCTCACTGTTTGCCTTGGCAGTATCCCATTTGCACAAATCAGAATATAGAGGCACAAAAGCACTTGAGGCTCCTCCAGAGCTGACATCCCCTCATCGAGAGACGTGCCTGTGCAGGCAGGCTGGTTTGAAGCTTACTAACAGGAGCCCTGCTTCATCAAGTCCCGGCATTTTGAGCAGTCCTGTCTGTGAAGTGTGCTGACTTCTGTGAGCTCTGGTGGTGCAGTGTCCTGTCAGAGGAAAAGCTGTGGGCAAGGGGGATGTAGATGTGTCCTGGTTTACTGTACTCATGACTTTGGTCCCTTGAAGGGAAGGGAGCTTCTGTGCCTTGAGTGGAAAAGAGGGAGGTCAGTTTTTAAGCATGGTACATCTCTGCAGCTTTTGATAGGTCTCTGGATCGCTCCACACCTTAGTTTCAAAGCTCTAAATTAGAAACAGAAAACTGTCTAGAACTGAAATTCAGTTGTAACTGGTGTTGCTGTCACTACCATGAGGCACTTGTGTTGCTCTGAGCCTCTAATCTGTGTTTTAATACTGGTAATAGTAGCAACTTATACTAGCATTTGGGAACTTAGAAAATACACATTTTAATGTTGTTTTTTTGTTTGTTTGTTGTTGTTTGTTTATTTTTTTGTTTCAGCAAATTCAGTGAAGGTAGAAATGCAAAGTGATGAGGAATCTGACAGGAAGACCTTCTGTCAGGAAGATGAGGTCAGGGTTCTCGATGAAGGAAGCAGCCTGGAAGAGCCCCTCACTGAGAATAACGAGATGACGGATAACAGAAAGATTCAGGAGCTATCGAGCGAGGGAGGAATCCGGCTTCCGAATGGTAAACTGAAATGTGACGTCTGTGGCATGGTTTGCATTGGGCCCAATGTGCTAATGGTACATAAAAGGAGCCACACTGGTAAGCAGCTGAAAGAAAATCTGATGACTGCCTGTGGCATCTGATGTTGATATTACCTGACAACTGTTCTCTCTTCCCTTTTCATTCATGGGTAGCAGGAGACTGGGGTGGGGAAAAGTGGGCTTTGCTGTTTCAGTTCTCTCCTCTGTTCCCTGGATTCTGGTGATTCTGTGTTTCTGGCAAGTGTGGTGCTTCCTTGGTGTTCATTTCTAGTTTTTGGTTCTTAAAAATGTGACAGGAGTCTGAAAATCTATCTTTCTACTGATCTTGACTAGGGAGAATATGGAGGGCGTGTGTGTGTGATTGTGTGCGTGCATGTGCAAGATTTTTACATTTTAAGGTGAGTCTCAGGGCTTTCCCTTGGAGCTGCTTGTAGATAGACAAGGGCAGCAGCTCAGGTGTCACACACCTCCACAAGAGGCTGGGTGACTGTGCAAAGCCATGGCAGGTAGGCATTACCTCATGCTCAGATGCTTATACTAGTGCTCAAATGGGCTCATGTGACAGCTTCATCAAAGAAATCTCACCTGAACTGTTCTTAGGACAAGCACTAGTCCGTGACAATGTAGATACCATTTTTATGGTATCTTTCAATCCTTACATTTTCTCATTTATGTCTATTACTGTTAGCACTACTACTGACTGGGGGCCAAAACAGCTTACCTAGCCTTAAGGATTTGAGAATTCAAGAGGTAAGGATTTGAGAATTCAAGAGGTAGACAAAACCTTTGCCATAAAAGAAAGAAGGGGCCACGAGTTCAATACAAGTTTTGAAGGAGTCTGGACAAATCTGGTAAATGAAGGTACCCAGAGGCTGATCCTTAACTTACTCAGGGAGGAGGGATAGTTACCTCCAACAGGAAAAAAAGAAAAAAGTGGGGGTGGTGCCAAAAGACAATATTATGGAGTCTTATGGAATCTGTCACACAGAGCCTTTGATTCAGAAAAGCTATTAGGCACATGTTTAAGTTCTGTGAGATTTAAGATGTGTAGCACCTGAACTGCTATGGTATATACTTTATGGCTTAAGACATATGCTTAAATCTTACTGAAGTTAAGCACAGGTTTCTCTGGAGCCTCAGGGGGTGTTTATTCATACTTATTTTGAGAAAATGAAAGATATTTTGTTGTGTTTTTTCTTTTTTTTTTTTAAATCTCTCTCTGCTATTATTTAATGGGGTAAGAGGCTCCCACTGTAACTGAGATATCTGACAGGATATAAAAAGAAAAGTGGAGTTTTAAGGCAGAATAAGAAAAGACTTGGTATAATCCCCCTGTAAACCTGGTAGTTTGCAGTCAAGTAGTGTGCACTTGATGGGAAAGAAATCAATAGAATTTCTGTACAGAGGAATAATAAATATATATTACATAGTTAATGCCCTGTATATAAGCTGTATTGATAATAACTTAACATAAATGTATAATGCAAAGCATTGCAGTATCGTTTATGATGCAGTCATGATTTTAGACAGCAGTTACGACGGGGGAAATGCATTAGCTGAAGGAGTGAAATCTTGATTAACAATTTGACATGCTATTACTAGAAAAGGGAAAGAGAACAGAGAATGCAACAGACTGAGTCTCCAGCTTTCAGCTGAAAAGTTTTCACTGGCACTTGCATCTATCTGAGCATATGTATTGTAGGTGCATCACAGTCCACATATTTGAACTTGAACAGCTAAATTAGACCTGCTAATTTTAGATTTAGGTGCTTAATTAAATAGCCTATGTTAGCTAGCTCATGTTTTAAATACAGACAAAGCTGCCTTTTTGGTTTAAAGAAAACGTGAATTCAAAACAAATAGGACAAAATCTCACCTGTGTATGGGTGACAACCACTGCACGTGTGTGTTTATAGGTAGGAGTTACATGGCTAGTAGCTTTTGCCTTCTGACTAGTGGTGGCTCTGTGTTGAGCTATGTCTCTTCTCCCATCTGAGCAGAGGAGTGTGTTGCTTAAGGTATCTGCATAATGCAATGCATATAAAAGTGCAGCCTGGTGCTCTACTCTCGGTACAGCAGTTGGCAAATTTTGCGGGGGATTTTTTTTCCCCTGCTTTGTTTGTTTGTTTTTTAATACATGCTGCTACTTCACTGTCCACAACAGAAGGAGAAATTTGCTTGGATTTCCACATCCTTGATTTTAAGGAGTATTTTTAACATACTGGTATCTCTCTCCTAAAGTGCAGTACTTGAAAATATATTGCCACTTCCTCAGCAGTTGGGCTGAATGGGCTGGCCCCAGCTCTGGAATGAGCCCTGGCCTGTGGGCAGTCTGGTTTTACAGCCCAAGGGAGGATGGTGGAGGGGAAGGGAGGTTGTGCCCAGTAAGTGGAAATGGATGATGTTCTTTATCAGGTAATGCGACTGGCATGTAAGTCCTTACCTCTAAAGACAACTTGTGTGTGCCTTGGGAGCTGGATCCCGCCTTACGTTCCTCTTTATCAGTACACAGCCAAAGCATGGTCTGGCCAGTTGTTTGCACTGGCAAAAACTGAAGTCCTTTTTCCCTTCCCAAAAACCTGACAGCATTCTATGTAAATCACACACAGTGCTGTGGTCATGGCAGAGGTTGTAATTTGCCTGTATGCCGGGACAAAAGTGTGGCTTTCCTTACGTTTTGGAACTGCAGCTTAGTGAGAAGCTGTGCCATATGGCTTTGACTGTGTTGTGCACATAAAGGGGGACAGTTTCCTGCAGGCGTTATTCCTCTGCTGTGATTGCCCTGCCACATCACGATAGTTCAGCCAAACTCAACTGGGGTTGGGGAGAATATCCTCTCCTGTGGGTAAGGACAGAGCATGACAGCTGGGAGTCCCAGCTCTCATCCTCATGGAAAGCATCCATTTTTTCTCATGCTTATGGCCACTCTCTGCCTTGTTAGAGTTAGAGATTTCCCTTTTATCCTTTGGAGTTGCATAAAGGACAAATGATGGTCTGCTCCCTGGCCCCTCCATAGCAGAACTGCTTGTTCGATGCCTCAGAACACAATGTTTCTCTGAAATGCTGGTAATTCAGGTGAACCATTTGTGTAATCTGCACAGCCATCACGAGAAAGGCCTTTCTATTTATTTGTCATCACTGACAGAAAAGAAATGTTCGATATGGGAATTAATTGTGTTGCACTCTGTACTTCAGTGAGCTGGCTAACCGTGATCCCTTCCTCACATGCCACATGCTTGTGTCCGAAAAATAGCACGTGTCAGCATAGGTTTGATTTATTTTCCTTCTTCTCTATCCTCTTTTGGTCCAAATTTCATATTCCACATCAAGTGCCCCAGGTTGCAGCATCTTTATCAGAGCTTTTTGTTACTGCTGCAGGTAACGAGTCACATAATATTGCCACTGGATATGCCAGGGGCTGTGCTTGGGGACGCTGAGGAAAGGGGAGAGGAAGAAGATGAGGTCAATAATCCAATTTGTCTGAGCTAATGAAAAGGAACGCCGATGATTTCTCACCTTTTCAGACTTTCTGCTAGCGGGCCTGAATTAAAATGTCCTCAGTCCTCATTTTGTGCAAAGCAGAAACTATTTACTGCTACAGCCATGCAGTGGCCATGCTCAGTGAGCTCCACACCTCTCGCTTGCACTGTGAATAGTGATTTTTCTCCACAGACACCCAGAGGTAAAGGGTTTGTGCTGACACAGCCAGACGTCAAACTGCAACTTCAGGGAGCAATGCAGTAGCACAGAGCTCTTGCCACCCTTCAACTGGGACCGCTGCTGTGTTGTTTTCAGCCTTTTTGGAGTGCTTACCATGGAAGGGTTTCAGATCTTTCCCTGCTCTCCGTGTGCACTGCAGTACCATCAAGTCAGTAAAGTGAGATAAGGTAAGCACCAGTGAGGAAAACCTTCAGTTCTACTATCTCAAGCATGGCCTTGTAACTGAGCATATGCAGCATTGGAACTATGAATTTATTATTTTGGGGGGGGGGGCAGAGTTCAGGTTTTTGGGGTGCTACTATTAGATGAGGAAATCCTAGTCATACTGCTCTGTACAAAAGACTTCTCTGCCTAAAGCAGCTAACTAGGAAGAAATCTAAACAAATGGTCATATTAACACACAACAATTAACTCCCTTGAACTGCCTAATTCTTCTAGTACAAGAGTTTAATTGGCTTTAATTTGTGATTTGTAGCCTACTGCAGGCTACCTCTTGGAATAAGAATCATCTGGCAACGAATCAAAAGTCATAGAGCCAAATTTCGGAGAGTGATATTTTCTACTTAAGTTCCTAAATGAATCATCTGACTTCTCTGAAAGTGTCATTTTGTTCTTAAGCGTAAGGAAGGAGAGCTTAGATGTTTGAAATTTTTGAAATGGCTTTCTGCATAAGGATGTGTCTGACTTGCAGTACTTGCTAAACACATTTGGTTTTGGCCTGTTCACAGAAAGAATTTTTCACTTTTCAGAAAGTGGTCATAAATTTGTGTATGGAGGACACTTGGAAATCACCCAGAATTTCCCAGAAGTTTTTCCATAGAGATTTGCCACTACTGTTTTATAATAAGTGGCGTTATCTTGGAAGAGGGTTTTTCCCAACAACAACAACAACAACAAAACCAACCCAAAAACAAACCGTAGTAAAATCACGGATTGGCAAGTGAGGTGCAGCTTGTTGAGCGATGAATAGAACAGTAAGTATATAAACAGGGTAGTCCCCAGAATAACAGGCATGGGAATGGAGCCAAATCTGGTGCTCTGTATTTCATTGGGATGAAGGCATGTTGCATCTCATTGCCTGCCAGTGTGTTAGCAGTGCTGCTAAGATTTCATCTGGGACAGAGCAGAATCAGAGCGGTTGTAAAAGTGTTTCTTCTCACCCGAGTGTTAACAAAAAGCCTACTGTCGAAGGGTGCAAATCAGGACTGTCAGTATGAAGAATTACTTTCTCACTGGCAGCAGGAGCGTAGTGATTTTACAGAAAGTAGTTAAAGTAATAATAATCCTGTTTTAGAAGAACCAAAGTTATCCTTTGTGTATCAAAAATATGTGCCAAACAGGAATGGCTGAGGTCTTTGATATATATTTAACCAGAACAGATGCTAAATGTAGTCCCATTGGACCTGGATTTTATGTTTATAAAGACTCTTTCCTGGCTTTCTCTAGCATTCTAGAGGCTTTAAAACCTGTGTTTTTTAAAGGAAAAAAAAGTAATTAAAGCACTCATAGGAAGGGACTTGAATGTTGCTCCGAAAGTAAGCAGGCCCTGCTTTTACCAAGAACGTGTATTAGTTTGTGAACTGCTCCTTTTGGTTTTAAATGGACAGAAGCTTTCAGACGAGGGTTATGAAGTGTGCTCGGTCAGAAGGTCTGTGGGCACAGGGTATTAAAAACAACACCAGATCTAGGGAACTGGGGGGGTCCCCTTTCCCAAATTCTACATTTAAAGGTTTTAAGCCGTAGAAAACACAGTGGAAAGCAATTGATTCCAAGTGGAAGAAGTTTAATTTCTCCATCTTAGGAGAGATACTTATTTATTCATGTATATTTTGACAGCCACTTGTGACAGTCTCATTAAAAGTGTTAGAACAGCTTTGGCCGCGCTCCGTCCCCGCTTACATTTCTGTTTTGATAGAGAAAATGTCACTGATGTATTTTGCAGGGGTACAGAATTCAGAGAAGGCCAACTCATAGCGAAACTCCTGCGCAGCACTTCCGTGCTGAGGCGGTAAAGGAGAATTGTTGTACAGGGAATCGTCCGATTAAGTAGAAAATGGAGTCAGTTTGCTCTTTGAAATAACAGTTGGCATATATGTGGTAAAATATTCCTGCTGTTTATAGCAGTTAATCAGCTATTTTGGCTGGCTTTAGGCTGTATCAGCTAGAAAGCACTCGCAGCCTTTGCTCTGAGGTCTCGGTTGAGGTGCCATGTATTAAAGATATTTCTAAAAGGACTGTGTCATGCTAATAAACCCAACTCTGTTGGCCCATGTGGCTTTTCATTTCGGTATTTGTTTATACAACAGCAAGTTGTGTGCTTTAGATACTGGTGTAGCTAAAGAGAAGTCATATTTCAGTATTATTTTTCCTGGAGAAGAGATAGCTATAATGGATGCATTTTAACCAATGAACTGTGTTGTTTCTGCAGTGTTTTACTGTAATTTAGAGGTAAATATTTGAAATTACACTTGTTAATCAATACTTTATATAAGTATAAAATGATTTCAAAAAGAAAAGAAAACAAAACCATGGGCTTTGGGTGTTTTTGTTTTGTTGGAGGCGGGGCGTTATGGTTTTTTCTTAATTATCAGTGATGTTCCCTGACACAAGCTGCTCTTCTTAAGCCTTTAGAAAGGTAATACTTGGCAGCTCTGGCTCACCTTGCCCTGTCTACTCCTGAAGTAGCTTTAGATAATTAAATTCTCCATGCTGCAGAACAGGGCTCTGACTTAAGGTCTTAAATCTGGAGCTGAAGAGAAACATCTTTTTTGTTTGGTTAGCTGTTTTCTCCCTCTCTCCACTGAGCCTTCTTTCAGTTGCTAAGGTTGGAAGGCTTCTTTGCCCTGCTTTGGCTTCAAAAGAGAGAAAAGATTTAATATTTAGCAGTAGACGAAAAGTATTTGCAGTCACACAGTTTCCAGTGTTAAAAAGCAAAAAGCTCATGTAGTCGCACATTGCAGTACACGTCCTTTTTATGAATTCCTATTTTAATAAATCAGCACAAGTTAACAGAATCAAAAGGCAAATGCATAGCTATAAATGGCGAAACACACACCATGCTTAGAACTGTCCCTTGCCTCCCATGGTCACGCATGCAATCTATTGCAATGGTCTCTGATTTCTCGTGTATCTCACCCCAAAAGACAGGAAAATGTTTTAAACACAGGAACTACTATGTAGAGAGGAAATGTATTTAGGTAAAGGCTCTTCATGAGTGAAGTAGAGCTGCCCAAGCCAGTGTCAGACAGGTTATCCCATGTATTGTGCAGTACCTGTGGGCTCATGCAATGCAGAATGGGAGCAGCACTCCTTCCCAAGTGCTCTGGCTGTGCAAACCAGCATGGTGTAGAGACCAGATTTCTACTCACTGATGCTAGAATTGTAAATCTACCTAGATCTGGTGTGATAATTGTTCACAAAGGATACACTTCAATTACTATTAGCTGAATCTTAGGATACAGCATAGTTGTTATTAGTGGATGGTTAGTTAGAGCTATGATTAATTTCAGTTATGAACAAAAAACTGCTTTTCATAGAAGTGTAAGGGAAGTGAGTAAGGATGTCAGGATATTACTTTGTTGTTAGAGAATAATAATAATGCTGGAGTACAACTGAAACCTACTAGCAGAAGACAGCAGCAGAAATAACAGGGAGAGCAGTCTTCTCAAGGCACTGAAGTGATAAAGAAAAGGTTGGTTTGCTACTGTCTCAAGTCAGCATTGAACAACAGAGTTTATAGAAAAACATTAAATCTTATTACTCAGTTTTTGCTTTTTTGGGGCAGCTTTCTATTGGATGTTTGTGGCTCAGATTAATTGTACTAGATTTAAAAGCTGCTACTGCATAGTATGAACATGACAAAAATTGATTGTCATCCCAGAAGCCTGCAGTTTAATCAAGAAGCAGGAAATACCTGATTGGACAAAACTATAAGAAACAGATCAAAGTAGTTACTCAGAATTAAAACTAGTAGGAAAAAATGAATTCCTTCTGGATTAAAGTAGTCTATTGAAAGTGAAGTGTGCTCTTGTAGCAGGTTCTGCACAAGAAAGGAACAGGCTATTGGTGACTTTGTGAAGGATGTTCTCATGTCGTCTTTGCCACTGAGCTGAAGTACAGTGATTACTTGAACTCCTGACTGAAGACTTTGAACGTGTCTTCAGCTGCCTGTTTACTGGGGAATAATACTTGCTCATATGTGGCCTCCAAGAATATCAAAGAAAAGTTGGGTAAAACACACAAACTGCATGCCTTAAAAACCAGCAGGAATAAAAGAACAGACTTGAAACTTGGTGAGAATCCTTCTGCTTTCTTTAATGTTGTCATCCCGAAACTGAAGCTGTTATTCCTGAATACTGAGAAATGTGTCAGAGGAGGGAGTTTTGCCTGTTTTCTCAGACACCGAAAGCAAAACAGAAAAAAAAAAAATACACACGCACACACACACATATATATACATATAGGATTTGTTGACTTTATTCTCTTTATGTATCTCTGTTAGGACATTTTGAAATGATATAAAAGAGGATAATGGCTAATCAGATCCTTCAAATGTATTGTGGGAGTTTAATGGAGAAGCCACAAACTCTCTATCAATTCCAGTGAGCTTGCATTTGGTGTATTTGGAAGAAGAGCTTCATGGCTTAGTTTTTCTTTATTATTAGTCCACAATGTTTTTGGTGAGATGGCAGCAAGCTTAATACCTTCTTCAGTGCATCTGCAGTTGTTTCAGATGTATCTTCAGCACACAAAATGAAGTTGCAGAGATGTGGTACATATGTGGCACATCTACCTTCTGCTGCCCTTCTTACAGGACCATGGCATGGGCAGTGATTTAAACCACCAAAGCAAAACTGCTAGAGGACACCTGTGAGAGTTCTCTTCCTCCCTCTTTCTATTTGAATCAGAAGACAGATGCTGGTGTTTACACCAGACACGTGAACTACTATGATAAAAACATTTTTGTATAGCCAGGGAGTAACTGTTTTAAAGCAATTGAAAAAAGGAGTTGGGGAGATGCGAAAGATCACCGAGTATGTTTATTTTTCACAAGAACTGTGCTTCATGCCAATGAATTCAAACTGAGGAGTCCTGATAGGACCTGACCAAGGCTCCATGATAAGAGATATGCTAAAAAAATGAATGGAAGTGCTTACATCTGAAATCTGATGTTCCAGACCTTGTAATGCTGGGGAGCCCTGGTTAGTTGAAGTTCCTTCATCATTTAAAGTCTAGCTGTAGTAAAGTGCTTGGGTGAATGGCAAGTGCTGAGTATAATTTTGTGCCCTGCTGACTCAGTCTGCCCAGTAGGATGTAAGTAGGTGCTTATACCTGACTGTGTGCCCAGAAATGCTGGGACAGAACCGAGTGTCCTCAACAAATGTTGATCTAGATTATGGTCTTAATAATGCTTCAGAAAAAAACAATGTCAGTTTGTCAGATTTCTTTTCCTCTTTAAATATAAAAAATAAAAAGTAAGAATTTATTGATCCAATCCCCACTATCAAGGGCAAATATAAATGATTGGCATCAACATAATTTGTGTGTGTGTGTGTGTGTGTGTGAATGTTTGTGGGGTGGATTGAGTAAGGAGTAGAGTTTCTGTTAAAATTAATTATTTATTGCATCAAACAAATCTTTTCCGTTAGTTTTACACAGATTTGCCTATTTCTCAATTTAACATCATGAGACTTTCTTAGCCTTTGCTACTTCACAAAGGTTGTGGACCTGATTGTCACTTGCATTGTCTTTATACCACTGCAGCAATGGAAAGCAGCCTTTAAGAGGGGGCTTTAAGCTGTAGTGTAAGCAAAAGGTTTAGTTTAAAACAAAGATTTTAATACCTGTCCAAGTCCAGTCCTTGTGTTCAACTTCAAATATTTATCTGGATTGGACCAATACTGAAAATATGTGCAAAACCATAGAGATAAAGACCACAGACTCCAGTTATGGATCCAAATTTTGAGCAGAGCTCATCATTTACTGAAGACAAAACCTCTGAGATTGGGAACTTCACAAAAATCAGGCAGCAGTGATCAGCTCAAGCTGATGCTATATAAGGGGAAGAGCCCCATTAGGGGCTTAACCCACAAAGCAGAAGAAATGGTCAGACCTATGTGAGATGACAGCGCCACAAAGAGTGGGACAGTGGGCACCTTCTGGAGTTTCTTGACGGCACTCTCCCTTCCATTTTCCCTTTCAGGTGAACGCCCCTTCCACTGCAATCAATGTGGAGCTTCTTTTACCCAGAAGGGGAACCTGCTGAGGCACATCAAGTTGCACTCTGGGGAGAAACCGTTCAAATGTCCCTTCTGCAGCTACGCCTGCCGACGAAGGGACGCCCTCACAGGACACCTCAGGACCCACTCCGGTGAGCCCGCCTTGTCTTCTTTTCCCTCTTGTTGGTTCCTTTCTCACTACTGCTAAAGTGAAACAGGTTGTGAAAATAACCGTGTTTCTGGTGGCTCCGGGGCTGCACCGTCCTCTTCAGATAGCACAGCTCTGAGCTTTGGAAAAGCTTTGACGTGAATCAGAAAAGTGTGGTTCAGCCACACCTCTCCTTTTGTGTAACTGAGCTTCTCTGCTGATGCTATCACATTTCCCTTTGAATGTCTCCTTGGGTGTATCCAGACTTTGCTGGCAGATTGTTCTGACACTGTAGGCCCCAAAGTGGCTGTGAAATTCCACAGATCAGAAAAATAAATTTGTGCTTTTGGAAGTCTGCTTTGCAGCTCATACCAATTTCTTCCTCTATTAAATGCCGTATGCTGGTAGAGTTTATACTTGCTGATCTTTCGAGATCCTTCTGACTGCATTTTTTATTCAATTATTTCTCCTGTAAAGTTCTAATTCATAAATGTATGGGAGAGATTGAGCTTTCCCCGCCTGCTTGATACAGTTTTTCTGATGGATTTTAAAGTAACAGTCTAACTATACTATGTGTTAGTAGTCATGTTGATAGCCCTGGTGATCAGGATTGGAGGTGTTTCTAATCTCTATATGCTACACCAAAGGGCTGTGTTCTGCCCACTTCACTCGTTTGTGTAGATCTTTTGAGTAAGATCTTAACTTGCTGTGATTTTTATCTACTAGGATGTTCAACTTTTATGTCCAGACCATTTATGGGAGACTGTGTTTTTCACTGTTGAATGAGCAGAGATAATTGGACTGGTTAGAAGTGACAGGATTACAGATGAACTTTTTTAAGGTGTTAGCAAACGTGTGACTACTGAAACATGGTGGTAGAAGTGCGGCTGCAGACAGAAACTCTGCGTGTGAAAATGTCATCATGGAGCTTTCTGACTATTTATACACATTTATTCTAAGAGTCGGCCTCACTTCAGTGGAATTTTCTGTTTTATGAGCATTAGGGTGCTGAGTTTCCATTATATTTCCAAGAATCAGAAAGGATAAGCTAGTAAATTTCTCCAGGTACGCAGGAGGCTGCACTGTTGCAAACATACTTCAGACAGAAAGCATGAGCATGAGTGCAAGCACGGGGCTAGGCTGAAAGAGTATTGCCTGAGAGGTGTCAGCTGAGAGGATTTGATCTGAAAGTCAAAAGGGAAAGATGTCTGTGGAACAGCGTGCCTTGTGATTTTCACACATCTGACCGTAACAGTAATTTCAACTTGAAATTTAGTAAAAAAGAGAACACAATGAAGATATCCACAATTTAATTAAGAAAGGAATCATGACGTCGAAGAACTTACATGGCAAAACATGAATATTGAGGTTGAAAATCATTTTCACAGTATGAATATAGATTTTTATTACCTAGATCCAGCTACTGATAGCAATTATTCATTCTTCCTGTGTAAAGAGTACATGGCTGATCTTTCTGCTTTTTGCATGAAGATGAAACACAATTAAAGCATGGGTTTTTCAGAAGGCATCTAAGCAGCTTATGCATATGGGTCCCACTGGAGCTCCTTCCCTAACTGACATAGTTGTGTTCAGCTGTACTCACAATGCAATTTTAAGGGAGTGTTATCACTAAAAGCAGTCAGACACAACTGTTTTGAGTAGAGACTCAAGAGAAACAGCCAAGTGCTCTCTCATTGCTCTCCAAGACAATTTCTAGAATAGCACTCACAGATGAAGAGTTAAAAACCTGCAATATTGCCCAACCTAGCACCCAACCTATATGGGCATGGAAATGAATGTGTCTTTCTGTCCCAGACGTGTAGCTGGGTTGGTTTTATGCCCACAGTTGTGAACCTTGTTCATGGAGAAGATGGATAGACATTCCCAAGGGATTTAAACTGTTTCCTATCTGCTTACTATGCAAGTGCTTTTATGATTTAATACATTGCACATCAAAACCTTGCAGGTAGGCCTTGAAGACTACAGCAAAACTGTGTAAACTTCATCAAGTTCATACATTTTATGTTATTTCTGACCAGAAAAAAAACAGTATATCATGTAGTTGTATTATAGACAGAAAAGATTGAAAACAATTTTGCAGTATGAGACTTCAATCCAGTTTTAGTCTGGTACATTTATGCCTAAATTGAGGTGAATCTGAATATGTTTTGGCAGTTATAAAAGGAAAGCTCTTTAGATCAGCTCCTTAGTTAATACAGTTTAGAATCATATCTCCTAAGCATGGCAAGTATTATTATTTGGCATTACCAGAGAATCTGGCACATGATTTCACAAATGCAAGACAAATTTCATTTTTTTATGTTATGTATCCATTTCCTCTTTAAACAAGAGTGCTATTAATTAAGAAAAAGGAAAAAAAAAAAAAAGCCACCACTTTTCTTCTCAAGAATGTTTTAAGCTGCTCACTCTAAGTGGAAGGCAATATATGCAAGAAGGAAAGGAATTGAAGACATTTTTTATCTTTTTTTTTTTTCTCCGAGCTAGCTTGATCTGTGATTTTGAAAGCACTTTGTGTCACTACTTAATCAGTTCCACCTCCTCATCACTGCTGCCAGTTAGTCCATTTTTCCTGTTCCTAGTGCAGGGTTTTCATACAGTAGGACAGGAAAGGTGAAAAAGTAAGGAATTACTAACATAAATTAGCAGAAGCACCTCAGAGAGGTTTGAAATGAAACTACTATTAGCTTAAAAATATATATATATTGTTTTGGTGGCTGTTTTTTTGTTTTGTTTTTGCCTTTGTAGGATTATTTGGTTTGTGCTGTTTAATATTATTTCCTTTTTAAGTCTTTCTGAGTATCATGATCTTGTACAGAATTGTATCTTATTATGTGTTTCTAGGATGACTGGTTAGCAAAGTATTACTTCACATCTGTAGTACTTACTGCTGTTTAACCCTAAATAATTAAGGACTTATCTTGCAGTTATTCGCTCCTGCAGTTATTTACCTTTTACTGACATATGCAGTTCTGATGAACTTTGTGTCTATATTTTCCTCCCACACACAGCTTCTTTGGTTTCAGCAACATAATGATGCCTTCAGGACAACAGTTGGATAATGCCTGGGGAGAGATTCCTGCAGAGAATTGCACTAAGAGCTAGCTTGAGCCTGACAGTTCTTACAGGAGTTTCAGATACTGTTTCTAGGATTAGCTCTGAGGTTCCACAACAGAGGTGATACTGAAGAGATGCCCAAGCTGGCTTCCAGGACCTGAGTCTAAGCACAGGCTGTAGGGGGCTGGAGCAAAAGCAGGTGGCCCCTTCCTGAAGGGTGTGTGACCAGGTAGGAGGCATTGGCTTTATCTTGCCTAACATTTGCTGTTCTAAAGAGGAAGATATCCAGACAAAGCCAGTCCCTGATGGAAGTCAGAAAGGACCTGCTGTGTTACCCTGAGACATGCTCATATCCTCTGTCATCTCTAGAACTGCACAGCTAAACAAAGACACGTACAAGATAGATGAGACAAATTCTTCTGTAGGCAACTAATAAGCAAAGCAAAACTTTTAAGGAAAACGATTGTTCTGACAGATCTGATATTTAATGCACCTAGGTGTGTATCTTTGTACTTCAAAAGATATGGTGTACAACCTGATGCTTCTTCATTCTGAAAAATCAGGCTTTGCTGAGAGGGTGTGTAAAATTAACAGTTTTGTTTTGGAGGTGAGTTCCTTATGTCTAAAAGAGCCAAGTCAACCTTTTCCACATAACACTATTTTAAACAGAGACACTTTGATAGTTCTGAAAAAAGCCAAGGCTGCACTGATGAGCAATCTAGAAAAGCCTGTAGAAAACATTGGTGTGTTAGTTTTCAGAGCGGGGCTTGGGTAGGAAGCAGTAAATGAGGGACAGGATCACTTGCTAAGGAGGAAACAGAAAGCAGAGTTAGGTTCTCTTAAGTGGGAATCCCCGTGGGACACCTGTTACATGATTTATGTAATTAAAAGGCTGTCTGGTCATGCATACACACAGGCCAAATAAAGCCTTCTCAAGCATCCTTAATTCTAGAACTTCACTATTTTCCTGTCTTTGTCTTGGCAACCTCAATCACATTCCCTTACTGTGGGAGTATGTATGTGCTATTCATATATGACAGCAGTTTTACTGTTTATTTCTTCCTAAAAACTGGGTAGTCACATCATTATTTTTTCCTGTCACAAAAGCTTTTCCTCACAATGCATTTTAAAATTTGCTTCCAAGCCACCTCTTTCCTTTCTAGAAAATTATTTTTCCCTTTTCTGCTTTTTACAAATATTTGTTTCTTCTTCCCTCTCTTCTTTCTGTATTGCTGCTGCACTTTGTTACTACCCAGCTCTTTAATAGCACTGAAGTAATGGAATCATATTATTTGCAAAAGAAAAGCAGTGAAGCATTTGTTTTGAAAAGAAAGGCTTAGGCAAAAACTCCCAAAAGCACACTCTCAGCAAAGTATGTACAGCGCACAACACGTCTCATTAAAAAGGTAAATTCCCCTTCTACGTGGAAAGGAAATTTAGTAACTCTTTCTGTATTTCTGGCTTTGCAACTCTACTTTTCTTTTCCATAAGGGCTTTTTTCTTGGTTCCTTGTGTTACCAAACAAAGCATCCTCCCAGCCACGGGTGGTGTCCTCCTAGCCTGCAATTGCATGGTTCTTGTCAGCAGGACCTTTTCTTAGGGAAATGGAGCAGTGATGTTTGTGCATGCACTGACTGCTGAGAGGCAGAAAGGACCCAATTCTTAATTCTGACAAAATGCCTGACCCAATGCATGTCTGGGAGAGTCATCTCAGTCATCTCACCTGTGAGTGCCTCAGTCCAGCTGAAAAATTGGATGAACTGGCACACAGCTGAAAAACACAACGCTGTGCATGAAGCACTGCCTGTCAAAAGCCAGTGAGAATTATTGGGAGAGTGGCAAAGATGATGATTAAGAATAATAACGAGTCTATGTTGTAAATTGCTTTTTTCATCTCAAAGAGACTTGTACCACTTTTAACAACTCCAC